CCATGTGACATACAATTGGCATGGGACACCTTGATGCCCGGAGAAAAGCAAGCATAACGTTCGCCTTTCCTGGCTCAGGCTTGTTCTTGTTTTGGCCTTTTTGGCCGAAGTGGCGTCGCTACTTGTGGCATAAAACTCATAGACGGTCTGCGAGGTGTACTTGCGACCGGCTTCGCGCAGCACCGTGGGGAACTCTGGGCGATGCACACTGTCCGGAAAGTGCTGTGTCTCCAAACAAAACGCTTGATACGGGTTGTAGGGCTGTAAAAGGTGACCAGACGGACAAGTCAATCCCAATTAGGAACCGAAACCCTGGGCCAAGGATTATTCAAAAAAAAGAAACTCGGGGCAAGAAGCAGCAAAGAGAACAAGGCCGCCCCACCTGTTCCTCTCTCCCGACGACGCCGTCCAGCCAACCGGCAGTGTAAAGCTGGCATCCAGGCTCTACGGAACGAGCAACGTGGTACATGAGAGCACCACACAAAACAAAGGCGACCAACCCTGGCCCTCCTGCCTGGTCCACGAGCTCACCAGTCGTGAAGCACCGCAAGCCACGTCCCGATTTGGGATCAACCACGCTATACCGCGTCCACATTCCATGTGAGGGTTGTCACGCAGGCGTAGGCGGAACGCCCACACAAAGCAAAAGACTGGCATGGACGTGAACGGGGACATGGCTGCTGATACGTACTCGGCTGCCAGGCACAAACCGCTGTCATCCTCACGCTGCACAACAAAGTTGACATCGTAGCCCCGCTCAATCTAGACAAAGCCAACAACGAGCATCATATCAGCCAAAAGCAACAACACGCTGAGCTGTCACAAGCATGTGTAGAGCTAGTGGGATTGTAAACCTCACCTCGACCAGGTCCTGGCCGATAGTCTTGCCTGCGCGGAAGTCAAACGGGGTGCCCTGCATGCGATCTGTGAGGTCGTGCCGGCTCCGTCCGCAAATGATTTTGCGCATAACACGTTACACAGGATCCTGGTGCATAAGCACAAGTACCAACCTCAACCGGCAACAGCTTGCCAGTGGGGATGAGCTCAATGGCCTCGGTCACGTGTGTGGAGGGCATTGTCAGCTTGTGGTCGCGCACGCTGCCGGATGCCTGTGCCATGCCGGCCAGGGCCATTGAGCATAGAGAGGAATAGACCAGCCCCGGTAGACCAAGCACTTACAGCCCCCGCAAGGTTGAAGTAGGCGTGATTGGTAATGTTGACTGGGCAACGCTTGTCGACCTCAAACTCGTAGCTCAGGGTCAACTTGTTGTCCTCAGACACAGTGTAAGTCACCTGCACTTTGCACTCACCAGGATAGTTTTCCTGGCCGTCTACATGCAAAGCCAAGCATGCGCACACACGCAAGGCAGTTGTTCAACTCTTGCATGGTCTGTGTCCACCCGTGCCATCCCATCTAGGCTTGGGCCTTTCATCTTCACGCAAGCCGACGTGTCGGGACCAGACAATGGCACACACCTGGAGAGATCAAGCTGAAGCGTACGCCATTCTCCACGATCTCACTCTGCCACACTTGCTGGGTACAGACGGAGCATGCAAGGTCAGCACTAGCTCGCTGGGCCCATGCGCCGCACCTGCACGCTTAAAGCACAGAGCGCACGGGCGAAGAGTGTGCGCGAGCCTACCTTATCAAAGCCACGCAGACCACCATGGAGGTGGTTGGGCCCGTTGTTGATAGCCAAGGTATACGTCTTGCCATCCACTTCCATCTCTCCCTTTGCAATGCGGTTGGCCACGCGGCCGATCTGTATAGGCCCCCCAGCCATTCCAAGTATCAGACAATGAGACCAGTGAGAGAGTTGGAAGTCAGGCCTGCTCGCAAAGGTTGGTCGCTTACCACGGCCCCAAAATAAGGGACATTCTTCGTCTCCCAGTCAGCCAGAGTGGCAAAACCAAGAACTACATCGGCCTTGGCCCCGGATTCATCGGGCGCTAGCAGAGAAACGATCGTCTGCGTCGATTGAACAAAGTGAGCCAGGATTTAAACACGGTCAGGTCAAAAAAAAAAAGGCGGAATCACGTACGGCGCCATAGTCCATGATCTTGACCACAAGGCCTTGTGCTCCCGTCAGAGTATAGATGTGGACGGTTTCACCCGTCTCTGACAGCTTGCCATACTCGGCTTTTTCCACCTGCGCCATATCGTCGAGTCGAGAGCCGCGGGCTCATCTGCAGCAACAACCACACAACAACCACTGAACACAAAACTGATGAGGTAATCCGCCAACGACAATAACGACAATAACTTCTCCAATCGATACCAAAAATATCGTTATCATTCTAATGCCATCTACAAAAAGTACCCATGTAACGACAAGAACCGGCAGCTAATATTATTGTGTTTGATAATCTTATTCATATGGGCTTGCAAGGATGAATCGCAGTCAATGCCGTGCTTGGGCAGTGCTGTGAGGGACATGGCTGGCGGCTTGGAGTAGACATGGCATTACACAAGTGTGCTTGCTGGCAACATGATGACAAGCGAGCTGCTTCCACTCAAATAGCCGAGCAAACAAGCGTGACTCAAAGGATCAATTTTGCTCATCGTCATCAGAGCCGATTAGCTCGAGTTGTCGCTCACTTTTGACCCCATGCTTTATGGGCATCACCGATCCAGGTGCCTGTAGCCTTGTTTACCATGGTGCAGCGCTTTTCGGGGATGACCACCGTTCCTGAAAAAAAACCGCAAATGAGCCAAGCTGGCATTTTATTTGCGCCCCTTTCTGATATGACATGCACCAAGTTATATATGGGCGCGTCCATGGAAGACATACCCTGAGGAACGTGGCGCTGGCCTTGACTATCAAGCTGGTAGACAGCTTCCGTCAGCACGTCCGGGCCGGTGCTGAAGATGATGGAGTATGGATTGTTCATGGCTAAGCAGTACAGGTGTGTGAGCTCGACAAGTGTGGCAGACGCACGGCTAATCCTCTCTGTCACGTTTGCCTCCATTCAAAACAAAAGGTTATACGCACAAGGTTGGCCAGGCACGTGGTAGTCGGAAGGCTTGAGAGCGGTCACGCGCTCCTAATCAGCGCGCCCCGGACCGGGCATTGGCGTGAGTACGCCCAAAGCAGATTCTCAAAAGCAAGCGACGTGCAAGTCAGGTGCCGGTGAGATCCAGAAAAAAGCGCTTTACCGCAGCAATCTCGAGGGCACGCTTAATCACTGGAGAGCCTGGCTTGGACCACATGACATAGTTGGCAATGCGCATATGGTACTCGGGCACACCCTGTGCACCACGCAAAGCACGAAGCATAAGAGGAGAAGCGTGTGCAAAAGGACCGGTGTGCAAACAAATAGACACACAATCAGACAGACCTTTCGGATGCGCCAGCGCGCCGTGTGAGCCATGTCTTCTGGGGTCTTTTCATCCTCGAGGCATACAACTACACCGCCAAGTGCAAATACGGTTTCAAGGCTCTCCAGAACTGGGGGCATGCTGTGTGTAACAGTGGAGGTGTGCCATGAACCATACCCGTGTCATGGGCAATGTGTCGAAAGCCCGCGGCATCGAACATGCCGTCGATGGACTCAGAGGGGACGCAATCCAAATCGGCATACAAGCCCCCATACTTGTACAGCACCATCAGCCGACCAATATCCGCTATCACAGCCGCACAAAACGCATCAGTCACCTCCCCCACATGCCAATCCAAGGTGGTCCGCATGTGATCGAGAGCCAAAGGTAAACGCACCCCGCTGGATGGGCTTGCACTTGCGCCACAAATGCTTATATTCGGGAAATTCGGTGGCCCACAATTGTTTTATCTCTATGATGGTTTGCAAGCCCGCGGGCCCACACGGGGTGGTAGACAACATCAGCTTGGCGCGGCAACGCAAAAGGTGCCAGCGATGCGGCAAGGCCTAGAGCAAGAGCCTGCCAGAATTGAGGGATCAAGTCGCATCAAATTGTGTTCTGTGTCGCACAAGCGGCAAACCTTGTTCATTCCAGAGATGAACCGACCAGGCCGGGTTCAGCTTCTCCCAGGCGGCCATGGTTTCTGTCAGTAACCGGCGAAAGTAAGATCAGGAATGTGTGTGCATCACGACCACTTCGCGCTGGCATGGTTGGCGAGCAGACATCACAGCAATTCTGACACCCTATCCGCCCCGACGCGCTCGACCTTACACTCACGCTTGAAGAGATCCGGCATGGCTTCGTCAGCATCCCATAGCCCAAAAACAAAATGCATGGTGGTGGCATCCAAAGCCAAAGGCGCGGCAGTGCTGGGTGCGGGCGCCGCAGCTGTGGCAGCTGCAGGCTGAGCGGGGGCGACGGGGATTGCTGAGTTTTTAGTTGTGGGTCCGGGCTCTCGTGCGAGCTGTCCGAGCTTGGCATCCAACAGTTGTGACACCGCGTCAATGGAAGGCGATGTTGCTCGAAGGGCCTCAATGGCGCGGGCCAGCTCGTCAACTTGTCCGGACAGGCGCTTGAGCTGAGCTTGTGCCGCTTCGTTACTAGATGCACCACCAAAAAGGGTGCTGCCAATTCTGTGGCCAGTCGAACCAGATCCCATTAAGTGTTGAGATTGCGAGTCGATATCAAACCGCTTTTAACCTGTCCATCGGGGGCGCCGCGCAGAAATGAAGGAAAGACGTGCTTACCCCGAAGCACTGGGCGGCCCTGTCAGGACCTGAGTTTGCAGGAACACCATCACAAAGGTGTTGAGCACCAGAAGCACGGTCAGCTCCCACAACTCCATCCTGCCGGCTGCGTGTTGACCTCAAGCCCTCGTCGTCTCTGACACACGAACAAACTCCCTGCGCGCGAGAGATCACGCGAGAGAAGGCGCACGCGCGCAAAACGACCCAACCCCACAGCAACGAAGGGACCAAGTCGACGGATGACAACACGACAACACGACAACAATATGGCAGGGGCCGACGGGACCGATAGAGAACAGAGACGCCGTGTTGAAAAAAAAATTGGAAAAAAAAAGAGCCGTTACAGAAAGTAAAATACATCCTAGAAGCTTTCGGCACTCTTTTCCTCTCTCGGGCTCGCACACACACACACACACACACACACACACACACACACACACACACACACACACACACACACACACACACACCACGAGAGGTGAGACCGTGGGGCTGGCAGGTAGATCAATGGGGGGGAGGGGGAGGGGGGGCTGAAGCGTAAACGACAGGGGAAGAGAGGAGAGCCATGTGGGTGGGGTATGAGATGAAGCGGGCAAGAGGTTTTGTCGGGGAAGGGTTCTGGAGAAAATGATGGGCTCACATGTGAATAGCGCGTTTGGCTGGTCGAGCGCCGTTTCCAGAAGTCAGGAGCGGGCGCATCCCAGCATGTATCCGTGTCAAAACTGCAATGGAGAAGGTCGAGTGAATGCCAGCTTCTTTAGCGCCGGCACAGTCTGTGGCGCCTGTAATGGCGATCGTACGTCTTTCGCGTAGGCGTTGACATGATACTGTCTCGCTGAGGTGCGATTCGGCTGCTCACCATGAGGACCCGCGCTTGCACAGGTCAGACGAGTCGACCGCAACATCGATGCCGGCGCTGTGATGGCCATGGCATTGTGGAACGCAACTTTGGCCTCGCAGCCGACACTTGCCCTGCCTGCGACGGCACCCGCTGGGTCACAGAACGGTACGGTTACACACAGCACGGCCATCGCTACCGCACCCACGACTGCCCGCTCAGCGCTCAACCCCCCATGTGCATGCACTGCGCTTACCAACTCCTTGCAGCCAGCGTGAATGCCGACTCTGCAAGGGTTCAGGCCAGACACCCTCACTTCTTGGGCTTGGCAGTACCTCGTGTGTGGCCTGCCATGGCGCTGCCTACACGCGCCATCGTCAGCACCCTTGCAAGCACTGCCAAGGCAAAGGCGCTGTTGCTGGCTGGATCTTTAGCAGGTACCAACACGCCCTGCCCAGCGCCACATGTGCAGGACACCCCTCACCTTCCTTGTCGTCCATGCAGCTCGTGCCCAGCCTGCCACGGAACCCAGCTCGTGACCCTGCCCCAATATCAATGCAAGGCTTGCCGCACAACGGGACGTCACAATGGCCAGGTACGTGACTTTTCCGCTGATGTTTGCAACCGCTAAGATCGCCCCTGGTTGCTTCCACACTTTGTGTTGCAACGATCTCCCCCCTTCTCCCTCCTCTTGCCCAACTACGTACTCCCACGTTCTTGTTGAGTCGGCTGAATCCAGCTGGAGCTGACACGACTGACTTTGCTGCCCCCGCATGCTAGACTTGCAACCTGTGCCAAGGGCAATGCTGGCTACCCTACGATCCCCAAACTTGCCAGGTATCAACGCGCCTGTAATTCCAGTTGTCTCTTCAACAGACTCATGGACACGGTCCGTGATTTTCACAGACCCAAACCTTTTTACACGCCTCTTTCTGAGCTCACTTTCCTGTCGCCCGCGGCAGAGTTGTCATGGCCGCGGTCACCACCAGGGCTGGATTTCCAGAGACACGTGTACTACATGTACTGGCACGGGATACTTGGCCGCCAAGCAAATTGTGCGTATTGAAACGCTCTGCTCTTGTGTAAAAACACAAGTTTTTCAGACTCCATGACCCTTCTCTCTCTCTCTCTCTCTCTTTTGTTTTCCTTCTATTTTTTTGGGTACATGGCACGAGAGAGAGCCAAGATGCGTTCAAGGCCATCAGTCTGATGCAACGGATAACATCCATAGCTCGGTGATCAAGCGCTTACACATGTGCGCTGTCTGTGCTAACCCAGGTCATTCACTCGTCATCTGAGGGGGATCACAGCGATGAAGAAGAGTTCGGTATGCAATGGACCTGCGCTTGCCATTTGCCTAGCCTCAACATTCATCCTATGGCCTGGTGATCTACCCCTGTCATCCCTCACCGAGTGCACCCATGCCACCCATCTACAGATGACAGCCTATCCACTGTATCTGCATCCTCTTCACGTCTGCTGTCACCCAGCATATCACAATCATCTTTTCCCAGCCCGCGCTTTACATCACGCTACTGCTGCTCCTCGCGGATGCTTTTATGCACCATTATACTCCTTGTTACATCAATCATCGTGTGGTCCCAACTGTGGAACAGGGTCGATTCATTGCAGTGACCGCACGCCATTTTAGTACCCCTCTGCTTATTTATTTCGTGCTTCGAGTGCCTGCGCATGGCAGTGACTGCATGAAACCCTTTCTCGAATCACTTGGGTCTGAGCCAGAATCGATATTTAGGAAAGGCTCGACGGGATGTGTGTAAATTGACGGGACAACGCCCCACCTTTTCTGAAGCAGCAATTCCGTGCGCAGCACGCCTTCAGTGGCATCTAGCGACCCTGTCGCGTGTTCTTCCGGTTGGTCATGACGTGCACGATGCAAGTATCGGGTGTGAGCACCGCCGTTTTTCGCAATGGCCGTGTGGCAAATCCGTGAAAGGCCGAGGCGCCAGCATCACGCTGGCCCATATCTAAGCACTCGGCCCGTACAAACTCGCCTTGGATGGCGTTGAGTGGCGGGCGTCTCAGACAGTCGTACAGACCCTCCACAGTCGTCCCAGGATGCAAAAGTAGGCATTCACCCAGGCATGTCCGTGCGCCATGCTCCTCGTCCGAAAGCACACTGGTCAGCGCCTGCAAAGACAGAACTGGATAGACCACGAGCGGCGGCTTCAAAGCCACCGCCGCGTTCACCACGGCCAGCACGCCAGTCGACAAGGGGTTTGATGCGCCCATTGGCGCGCCTGTGTCCTTGACAGCCTTCTGAACCGCCTCCATGCAAGCGCGTATGTCTTCGAGTCGTCCCTGGAGAGTATCTTTGGGCGCCATAGAGGAAATTGAAAAGCTGTCAGCACCCGTTGCATAGGAAACAAAGCCTTGACGCCGCAGCTGACAGAGGTCCCACTCGGCGCGCGCCACCATTGGCAGCTTGCGATCCGAAGGAAATTGTGCCTCCAGGCGAGCGACGTGCTCAGTGGACACGTCCACCTGGAATAAAACATTTCGCATTCAGACTTCGCAGGCCCGCAATCTCCAGGTGGTCATGCTAGCATCAAAGCTGGGACCGGTTAAAATGCGCTCTCACCTTGTTCATGGCCAGCAAGATTGGGAAGCGCACGCGTAAAAAGTGGGCAATCAACCCATGCAAATCTCGTGGCCCCCACGCTGCCAAAGCAGCCCCTAGCTCCTGGTGCACACACAACAATTTCAAGGCACTGAGGCCCATGTTCGCCTACGCGCACAACATCGGGCACATTGGTTGTCAGCAAGTAAAGATGATCACACACCTCATCCACCACATGGCCCGCGCGGCGCAGGGCTTCATCCACGTGGGCACGCTTGCAGTGGTAGCCCGTGAACAAATTGTAGAGGCGTTCCGTTTTTCTATCACCACATGAGGACTCCGTTGTAAGGCAATCGTAGTTGACACAATTTGACAGCACGGGCTCCACACGCTCGCTTCGTGGAATCCCCGAGCGTGAATCAAAACGAACCGAAGGACTGTGTGCCACTTGGCTCGCACATTATTGTAGATCCAACGGTGGAGTTCTTCACGCACCCACGTAACATCATCGCAAGGGTCCCTGTGACAAGGTACCGAGGTTGAGACGATCGTGCACCCTTGTCGAAGGCGGTGCTCTGGATTACGAGCCTCACACCCCGGCCGCAGCAAAAGAGCATGGATCAACTCACCCCGCTTCGGCATCACCAGTCACGCCATCACGATCCGAAGTACCGGAAGCATCAATGACATGAATCAAGACGTCGGCATCACACAGGTCATTCAAAAAGGCATTGCCCTTGCCGCGACCCTAGACCCATCAGCACCAAGCGTGAGGATGGCGCTACCTGACAAGATACGAGGATGATTACGACCCGTTGTGGTGCATGGACACCTGATAAGCCCCCGGAACGAGACCGGCCACGTCCTTGATGATGATGGGTATCTATTCAGTCATTCACCAGACGACAACGGCAATAGCCATCGGGACAGACACGAGTAAGCTCGCCCGGTACTTGCGCCCGGTACTTGCGCCTGTTGCTCGGGTCCGTTTGACCACAGGTGAGCCCGATATCTGGAAAGGAAAAGGAAGCTGAGGTTGAGCGTACCTTGCGTTGCTTGTGCCCTGCACCCCAGCCATGGGCGGGCTCACTTTCGCACGATAAAACCGCGGAAGGACAGCTGGCGCTATGGTGTGAGAGAATTTATTGGTTCACGTGAGCAGCGAAGAGTGCCAGCCTGCCACTTGAAAAAGAAATTTGAACCAGGCGATAGAAATGAAAACAGTTGGCCGCTTGCTCATGTCCCATTGACCTACCAATAATAACCTTGCCCAATGTTGGGGTCAATGGTCGTGAAAGGGAATGCGGCCACGCGGGCCGTAGCATCTGCCGTCTGCATGGGCATTGCAAGGCACAATGAGCCATCAATGCCCTCACAAGAATGCTTGAGCGGAAGCATTTCTTGGCATATTTCAAGTGTCTGGCCCACCTTGGGATCGGTGATGGCGTTGAACAGGGTACTTTTGCCAGCTGAGGGCTTGCCAACCAAGCCTACGGAATTCGCTGTGAGCCCCGAGGCCAGGAAACAGCCAAGTTGTACCGGAAACAGCGACTCATGCAGCAAGGCCTTACCGATTGTGTAGCGCCAAGCACCACCACCGTACGAGATTGGATGTGCAGCCGCGTTATCGACTGCCGCGGCAGCCGCAGTGGCTTGGTGAATCAGCTCGTCCACCTCCTCTGGGGGCAGGTCGTCCACATCGCCACGCAGTTGTTGCCCGGGCAATATCTCAGCTGATGGACCGGTCTCGGTTTGGGAATGATGCGTGTCTGCTTGGAGCAATTTGCCCGTCGTAAGATCCTCTGCAGCCTCTTGCAGTGCTTGGCTAGCCGCATCCACCAGTTGCATGCCCATTTCCGCTCCCAGGCTATGTATAGCGCGAAACCAAAGTGAACAACCTTTGATGCACCCATGACCTTGCATGGCTACGCACTTTTCACTAATGCTTGCTTCAAGAGCAGCGGCCAACTGGCCCTCTACCACAGGCATAAGATTTTGTGGCACCTGTAGGGCACTGCAAACGCCCACGACCCGAGCCTAGGAGCGCAGGAACGACCCAAGAGTAGCGTCAAGACCAGGCCGAGCCTGGACACATTGGGAACAAGATCATGATCAAGTTGGCAGGAGCAACACAACATCAGACATACCACCGGCGCGGTTTCCGGGTAAGCCTGAGTCAGTGTGACGTAGAGCCGAGCAGGATGGGCTTGGTAGTGGTCGGTCTCGACTACAAGGATTCAGTTATCAGAACATCCGGGTATATGAGACGTTGGTGTACTTTCTACAATAGAGCAAACGCATCAAGATTGAAACGCACGGGCGGTGCGAAGGATGATGGAATAAGAAGGCGGCCGCTGAGATTCGAGTTCAAAGTCGGTGTCAAAAATGGCGCCGAGCCCCTCGAGCTCTTCGCGCTGCTCCTCTGTCGCCTCAAACTGGTTCGGGGCCGGTGGCGTGTGCTGACTAGGCGCAGGTTTTGCCAGCGCCGCAATGGCATTTACGATGGGATCCCACACGTTACGAGCTGCTGGCACAACATGTCCTGTGGGTGGGATAGAGCAGTGTGAGGGCCCAATGACCAAGCAGGGAGCCAAATCAATCCAGAAGGTCAGAGCTGCATCAGCAAACACGTCATTAGGGTGCACAAGAAGTCAGGGTCTACGCCTCACCAGCGCCATGTTCAATGCACACGGGATCATGGAAGCGAGTGGCAAAGCGTCGGCTGGATTCGGGTTTCACCAAATCGTCACGTGTACCCATCAGATGAAAGCTACGGGTGTACATGCGAGCCTGGGGATGTGGTGCTGCAAACGTGGGTTGCGATGCAAGCCAATCGGCAGGAAACCCTTCATCGGGAGCCCCCACAAAGACAGCGATCCGTGGGTGCGCCAACAGTGGGGCCAGTGCCACTTGCAAAGCCGGCTCCACGCTGGGTGATTGGAGATCACGGTCGAGCTCCTCCAGCAACCAGATGAGCATGGTGGCCACGTAGCAGCCCTGACTGAAGGCAAGCAGCAGGATAGGCTCATCGGCACTTGCAAGCGAGGCGTTGATTCGCTGTGCAACAGCCAGTACACAGTTGGTCCAGTCTGTGGGTCTCCCGTGTTGGGCAGCTACATGAGGCACCTGCCGCGTTCATCGGGCTGTTGTAGCTGACTAGGAGAACACATGGTGTCATAGGGCACCACTTACCCTGGACTTGCTGACCAGAGTTGTCATCAAACCAGGAGCGAGTTGGAACGTCGTTGCCTGCTTCCAAGGGCAGTAATACCTGGCCCTCTGGATAGGCGGGTCTGCACCAGGTTTCCCCGCACCAGAATCAACGCGAGACAGTCGTGAGCACACCCAAACGACGAATCAGTATGCTTGAGAGCGCACCCCGATGAGCACCTACACTATTGCCAGCCCACTCGTTCGCAGATGACGCAAGGCGTCACTCGTTCTATTTTCAAACACCTGGCCATCCTGCCGACGACCATGCAGGCCCACAACAACCAACCGCCCCGCCATTCCAACCAGCGCGCGAGAGCACATGCACTGCACTCAAAAAAAAAAAAAAAATGTCCGCAACTGATTCTCTCTCTCTCTCTCTCTCTCTCTTTTTCTTTTTTTTTTTTTTTTTCTTGGTTATGCAATGAACAACAGATAAACAGCGGCGCTTTTCGACCAAAGCGCTCCTTCTGCAATCATGAATGAGAGCTTCACATACACTGCGTAGCAAAAGAAGCACACAGCAGTAGCATGGTGGTAGACAAGAAAAGGTATATCCAACAGTTGTGCAGATACGCCCTCGTAGGCGCACAAGCATATCAAAGATGGTGGCAAGAGGAAGGCACTCGGCGTGCAAACCAAAAACATGCGAGGCAAAGTGTGCAACTCGTGCACTCGGAAATAAAAAAAAGAAACCGAGATGCCGTTGCCACAACGGAGCATTTACACTTCGTGTTCAGTCTCCTCGACTGCACCCTGGTCGTGTTGAGCCCGCCATCCTGAGGTAACGACAATATCAAAAAGCCAACGTCAGGGCCAAGCAAAAACGCCTGTGATTCGTTCAAGCAACTCTCTCTCAGCATAGCTCAGCGCAACACCACACACACACACACACACACACACACACACACACACACACACACACACACACACACACACACACACACACACACCTTCGGCTCGCTGACTCTGTGGCTCTGACCAAGCTTGTGCATCGTTATTGGTGGACGGTGCGTTTGGTGCTGAGCTGTCCAGCTCTGTCGTCAGGGTATCTGACGGTTGGGAGAGACTCGACCCATGCAAGGCTTGCGGTGCATCCATCGCAGGTGAGGCGGCGGCGGCGGCAAGCGATTCTGTGACCCCAGCGCACAGGGAGCTGCCTGTTTCTCGGTCGTCTTGCAAGCTCCGTGCCGCTGTTGAGAGCTTGAGTAGAGCCTGCCGCTCTCGTTCAGATTCCATGTCACTACGAGGGAATTGGTTGTGAGACCATGCCCATGCTGGGAAAATATATACAACATCAACTGAAAGAATAAGCCACACAGACTTTGCAGAGCTTTCCAGATCAAAGGCACAGCGGCAACTAAGCCGTTGCAGCATCTCACGTGCACGTGGCATTTCCTGCACCGCACTACAATCCGCGACATGCCGTGAGGTGAAGCTGCAAGCACGTACGCGTTGGACAGCGACCAGTTTCATCCAAGTCAAGCAGAACAGGCTCAACGCACTCAAAGTTGCCCATCTCCAGCATCGGCTTGAAGGTTTTATCTTGCACTGACTCTTGAAAACCTGCGGCGGCCAAGACACACGACATAACATGAGTGCTGGAACCAGACTGACGCGTCCGAACAGCAGCCACCGTACTTTTAACGACCATATCGGCGAAGCGACAGTATGGTGCTGTATCCTCAGGGAGCTGGAAGGCCCAGGTGGTGTGAACTTCCTCGCAAAGCACGTGGTCGTATCCAATGACCTCCATGTACAGTCGGCCTACGCCCCACAACAATAGCGGTCAAGGCCATTGTTCAAGCTGCGCCGCTACCTGGGTGACAAGTTTCCGTTGGGAACAATCTCCGAACTCGAATCGACAGACACCTGCCTTGAATTTTCTGATCTTTAAAGTAGGGCTCAAACAAGGGCGATGACTCATCGATGTAGTGTGTCCAAGTGACTACGGCATACAGGTGAGGTGGGGCGAATGAGGGAGGGCATCATAACTGCTCGTTTTTGCCAGATGAACCGCAAGAGACACAAGGAGTTGCGTCGAATGGAGGATGGCTGCACCGTCTTGCCATACCAGGCAGCTTGATGAACAATGGGCCCGCAAAGTTGAGTGTCTCGATCCGCCAATGCTGCTCGCCTTCCAATGTTTTGACGGGGTAGGACCAAGAAGCTCGAATCTACCACACAATTACAATCGTGAGTGCACTCTACGGGAATGGCACTGATAATTGGGTTCGAAGGATTACGAGCCCACAAACCCAGCGCCGAGCTGTGGCATTGAAGAAGGGATGGGTTCGCAATGCCGGGGTGGGCACAGCTTACTTGCAGATCGGATATGAGGTTGCCTCGAAGATTCATCATGCGGGTTTGCAGACAGGGAATGCCATTGCGCGAGTTGAAACAGAGCTTTTTACTAAAGGCAATAGCTGAGCGCGGCTTCATAAACTTGCGCACGGCCATGGACAAAACAAAAGCCTGCAGGAGCAATTCCAAGCATGAGCATGCTTTGACGAGTCGCATTGTGCTGGCGCTGCTCTTCCAGCGCTGGGCACATACCTGAAGGAAGAGCGTGCAGCAAGAAGAAATAAAGGCGAGAAACCAGCAGCCGGAATCCAGCTCAATAAAGTCCTTGTCCGTCATCTCGATGAAGGATGGTCCCGTCATGAGCTGCTGTGCCACGATAAGGTAGACGACGTCAAAATCGAGTTGATCCACGCAATGCCCAGCCTCAAAGAGGCCAGCAAGGACCAACGCCAGCAAGAAGATGGTAATAAAGTATGAGAGCAAGAGCCAGCGCCAGGAGAGCTCGAGGGAGATGAAGATGAGATTGAACTGGGATGAGAACTGCTTGTTGAGCATAGTTATCCGGCCCTTGACCACCTGGGTGATCAACAAACGCTCGAATGAAGCGGCGTCGTGCTAAATCTTCGGCAGTCTTGCCCAACGCGAGCTTTGTGGTGCCAGACGCACGGGCGGCCATACCTGGTACCATTGGCTGCCGGAGGTGTGCTTGGGGAGCTTGCGGATCTTGCTGTTGCGTCGCATTCGCTCCATTCTGGGCACAGCAGACCAATCATCAAATGGGCGCCCAATGAACAGAAAGGGTGGAGCAAAGAGACCAAGTTGAGGTGGAACTGTAACGACCCCTGTGGCCACATGCCGTGTGCGAGCTACAGTAATTCAACGAACCGTCGCTTAACACGTAGCTTACAGGCAAGAATGCTCTCCTTGCGATGTAAGGTCTGGGGATCGGATATCCTACGTGTCCGTGAAGCATTCGACAGAGCAAACCAGAAGCCAAGAAACAGCGACAAGAGAGCGCGCAAGGTGGAAGAAGGGCCAATGAGGATAGGCTCGAGCCTCAGGCCAGGCTGGTCTACAAGCACAGAGTGTGAGATGAACAAGCGCTTGGAATACCACTTACGCATCAGCGGTGTTAATGTCCAGATCGCTCGACATCGAGTCGCTCAGTCCAATGTGCTCGCTCGATGACGCCGAGCCATTCTCGGGCCCATCCTTCGTGCGTCTGCCCTTGGCCTCGGCCTCGGATTGGGCTCGAGAGGGCAACGGCGCCTCCTCACTCGTCATCGTCGACGTTCAGTATGGTGTGGCTGCACGATCCCAATGAAATGAGCCGATGTACCAAACACGGCTTGCAGCACGATCACAGTAACCGGCCACCAACCCTCATGCCCACCACCTTGACCCTCTCACGAATGACACCGACCGCGCACAACGTCAAATGGGGATTTGCATGCTCATGTCACGCCCTTTTTCTTGATCTCTCTCTTTTGATCTCTTTCTTCTTGACTCTCTACTCTCTCTCTCTCTCTCGGG